TATATATACACACACACACACACACACACACACACACAGACACACACACACAGAGCAACAGCCAAGCTTTGGATGGTGAAATAAGAAGTGTGCATGTGACAGATTAGATCTTGCATCCATAACTTTTTTAAACAGAGACTATCAAGTATGTGTGTGGGTGCATGCACACACATACACACAAGTGTGTGAGAGAAGTGTGTCATTTCCAAAGGCCCAAACAATGCCCCAAGCCCTAGATTGGTTCCAGAGAGATGAACGTTGGCAGACGTATAAAACAGACTTGTCATTTCTAGCAGACCTTGCTCCTGAAAAGCCCTTCATCTGTCATGACTGTACATAAGTAACTTTACATAGTAAGTAAAGCATTGTCAAAGACTGAAATCATATATACGAACAGAGAGAAATACTTTCAACAAGTGAGATCTAAGAATATAATGATCTCTGTGCCATAGCTTGAAAGTTTAGTTCATATTACAATGAAGATCACAGAAACAGTCACGAAAATTCAGGCTTCACCAGAGCATTAAGCCGAAAAGGAATCGTGTGTGCCAGATTTCTGATCAAATAGCTTCTTCATATGATCTTTGGTAGGACTCTTTAGGTGATCAATGATCTTCTTCTTGTTGTTGTGTGCCCTCAGGTCCTTTCTGACATATGGCGACCCTAAGGCAAACCTCTCATGGGGTTTTCTTGGCAAGTTTCTTCAAGGGGGGGGTGTGTGCCATTGCCTTCCTCTGAGGCTGAGAGAGTGTGACTTGCCCAAAGTCACTCAGTGGGGTTCCATAGCTGAGTTGGGATTCGAATCCTGTTCTCCAGAGCTATAGTCCAAAGTTCAAACCACCACACCATGCTGGATTCATGATCTTATTGAACCATAAAACCAATAACATTAGGTGGAAGAACAACTTTCCAACAAACTGCATTTAAATGGTTCCATTGTTAATTGCTGTACAGCAATGACTAAGCTACAGGCCAAGTGCCTGACATCATAAACAGACATTTTAATGTGAGTTACAACACAGTTCAGGGTTTGATTTCTTGCTCAGCTATGAAACCCACTGGGTGACTTTGGTCAAGTCACATATTCTCAGCCTCAGAGGAAGGCAATGCCAAACCTTGTCTGAACCAATCCTGCCAAGAAAACCCCATGATAGGTGCCATTAGTTGGAAATGACTTGAAGGCACACAACAACAGCAATGCAGTTCTAGATGGGTCTTCTCAGAAGTAAATCCCACTTAGTTCCATGGTGCTTAACTATTCCAATGTGTCCCTCCAGACATTGTTGGACTTTAGCTCCCAGCATGGCTCAAGATTGGACATGCTGGATGGAACAATGGAAGTTGCAGTCCAACAATATTGGAAGGGACAAATTTTCTTCACCCATTGTAATGTCCATGACACAAGTAGAATCCTAGAGTTGGAAGAAAACCCAAAGGTCATCCAATCCAACCCCATTCTGCCATGCAAGAAGACACAATCCAAGCACTTCCGACCCTAGACTGCACTAGAAATGCAAAGCAACACAGTAACAATAATACACTACAACACACAAAGGATACGTAATACACAAAGGATATATCTTTCCAAAGACATTCTTCTAAAGATTTTTTTAAAAAATATCCTTAGAAATAATATCCTTAAAAATAATGGAACAATGTGCACAATGTGCACAATAAATAGTACAAAAGAACATGGTGATTTCTTCCCCCCCCCCCTTTAAAGGCTGCTAATTTTTTAGGCATTGGATAAGGATTCATTAGCTTGTTTATTTTCATCATACTCCAAGTATTAAGCCCAAGACTTAACCAATATTTGGCTAACATACCCCTCACCCAAACTAAATAACTCTGTCCAGCTCTCCTTTAAAAACATCTCACAAGGGTTTTGAAAAACCAAAAAGAAGAGAGCCATGCAACATTGCGCAAATGCTCATCACACCTAGCTTACTTAATATGCTTTAATAATCAGGATTTGGATAGCTCTTAGGATCTTCAACTTTATAAACCAACATGATCACACTTACAATGCACAGGTGGTTCTACATCAAGCATAAAAACCATCAAGATTTGGGATAGAAAATAATTCGAATGTGATGTAAAGAGGCCCTGAGGTCACTTGAAAGCCTTCAGGAACCCTGAAATTGGAAAGAAAAAACCCACTACCTGGCACAACCATAGAGGTGCATGCCTTTCCTTCATGGCTAGGAAAACCATTGTAGAGGTTGCTGAGGATGGGAAAAGCAAAATCCCAAAAAGCCTCTCCAAACCCTTAGTGGTTCTTCTGAGATTGCTGTTTTCCCATCTCCAGCAGTCAATCCAGAAACAGCAAGCAAACACAAACACACAAATCTGAACACCGTACATCTTGGCTGGCACCGTGGAGAGGTTTTAAACGTTCCCATCCCTGCACACAAACACACACACACAGCTTTTCCTCACATTCCCCCCTTCGACATCCATGCAAGCAAAGATCTATGTGGGTCCAAAGAAAGTGTGCAATTATGTACACAAACATAGACATGTAGGAAAAGAGTGTGTGCCTGTGCGTCCCCATTTCCCCCCAATGACATTGGATGTGGCCTTGAAGGCCAAGAAACCTTCATGCCTGCTCTAAGGTGATGACCGAATGAAATATTTCCCCAAAAGAGCCACCCTGACCACCGAACGGTCCGCTCTATCATCTATGTCGGAGTCCCTTTTTCAGCTCTAAGGCACCTATTGATTGGGTCCAGGTTTGCATTTAATTGCATGCAGTTAAGTGCATTATAAAATCCATGCACTGTTTTGGGAAAAGAGGATGGAGAAAGGAGGAAAAGGCCGGCGAAGGCAGAACAGTTTGTTCCACAATAATATCAAGGGAACTGGACTAATCTGACCGGTCCCTTTGGTTCCAGCATCCTTTTGGGTCCAGTTTCCCATTTCCATGGTCTCCTTGCCACGGAAGGCCAAAGCGTCCGCAGAGTCCTGCTCCTCCAGCAGCCACCATCTTCTTCCTTTCCCATCAATCCACCTAACTCAACCCACCATGGGCCCAGCCTTCAAGGTTTCAAAGAGTCTCCATAGAAACATGTCCGGCGTGACATTCCTGCAGTCACCGAGTCATGCTTTAAAAATATCCTAGCCCCCCCCCAAAAAAAAAAATTGCAAAAACAAAACCAGGAGGACTTCCTGGCCTTCCTCCTCCTCCCTTCTCCTTGGTGGCCCCATCATGTTTGACATGGACGTGATAGCTCTCTGCATCATGTTCCCTGCTCAAAGCTTGGAGGCCCGTTACCTGCTTTTGCTGGTTTGCTTTGCAAAAGCAGCCAGAGCTTGTTGGGGGCAGAGGAGACGAAATGGGAGCCAGCGTGGTTGAGTGGTTTGAGCATTGGACTATAACTCTGGAGACCAGGGTGCAATTCCCAGCTTGGCCATAAAAGCCACTGGGTAACCTTGGGCAAGTCACATTCTCTCAGCCTCAGAGGATGGCAATGGCAAACCCCCTCTGAAGGAACTTGCCAAGAAAACCTCATGATAGGGTTACCTTAGGGTCACCAGGAAATGACTTGAAGGCACACAACAACAACAATGGAGACTAAAGTAATGGGCATGCACCCATCTTTACACAGAGGTGCATCTTGTGTACATGTGGATGGATGCACATATGTGTGTGAGAGACAGAGAAGTGCAAACAACTATCACCCGGATGCACAAGTAGTGGGAAATAACTTGAAGGCACACAACAACAACAACAACAACAGCAACAAGAAGGGAGACAAAAGCAATGGGCATACACCCATCTGCACACACAGGCACATCCCATGTATATGTGGATGGATGCACACAGATGTGTGTGAGAGAGAGATGTGAAAACAGCTATCATCTGGATGCACAAGTAGCCTGAAAAGACTTGAAGGCACACAACAACAACAACAACAACAACAACAGGGGAGACGAACACACAGACACATCCCAAGTGCATGTGGGTGGATGCACATATGTGTATGAGTGAGAGAGAGATGTGCCCATAGCCATCCCCAGGATGCACAAGGACCCCGATCCTTTTGGCAAGCTATTTCATCCCCTTTTCCTTACAGGAAAGGCTGCTTTCCTCCCTGCAAAGACGCCACCAATTCACCCAGTAAGCCAAACAGACCCCCAATAAAACAATAAAGCATCCTTTCTTTTTCTCTCTTTCAGCAGACCCACCAGAGACCCATCCCCACTTGTCTTGACCTTCCTTTCCCAGCTGGATTGCCTTCTCCCCTCTTTCC